GCGGGAGCCAGCACTTTTAGGGGTCTCATCTAAAACATAGTCTCTGAGTCCACTATCCCCATGTACCAGCCTGGGATAGAGTCCTGGGTACTGACACCTACCTGATATGGTGTGTTGAGCATCGTTTTAGGAAAGACACATGGACTCGGAATCTAGTCTTAACACCCATGGGAGGTGGTCCAGGGCAAAACCCTCATCTTACAGAAGAAAAAGCCCAGAAAGGAACCTTCTCCATGATGCAGTAGTAGATACTCAGTTACAAGTTAAATCTAGGGCCTGGGAAATAGCTCAGTGGGTGGGACACTTTCCACATACGCACGAGGACCTCCTGTCCTCCACCTCCAGCACCCATCTAAAAACCCAGCAAGGTGGCTTGAGCTTATAGTACCAGCACTCGAGATGTTTGTTGACTGAGTTGGGTCCCTAGTCTTGCTGACCAGCTAGTATACCTTAATTGGTGAGCCCCAGGTTCCAGGGAGAGACCCTGTCTCAAAAACGGGGGGGGGGTCATGTCCTAAAGAATGATGCATGAGGTTGACTTTGGCCCCCATGGGTACAGGTATTCACATATACACCTGTTTACCTTCACACACACACACACACACACACACACACACACACACACACACACCACAAATAATGTGACTCTAGACTCTCTGGGTCTTTGCTCCGCTCTTCAGGACCCCTTAAGTCAACATCTATTAGAAATAGTGAGGGTGTCAAAGAGATCCCAGATGACCTGGCTCATAGGCTGCTCCCCAGAGAAAATCCACTGGGGCTGGGTCTGCTCCACAGGGTACTTGTTTCTTGTGTTCCCTTTAGGGACAATGGTATGTTTACTGCCCGTGGCATGCTTTACCACAGGACACCTGCAAACACCGTTCTCGGGATCCATGTCCAAGCTAACCTAAGGCGGCTTGGCATGCTTTTCATCACTGGAGGTCCAGGGCCAGCCGGCTTGCTAGGCTTTACTGGTTTGTGACAAATGCAGCAAGGAATCAGCACAGACCCAAGTCCAAGAGGAAGGCTTGGGTGGGCTTGATTCCTTCTGAGAGCTGTTAGGGATCTTCTAGGCTCACACGGAAGAGGGAAAGGATGTGGAGCCAAGCGGATGGCTAGCAGTAGAGCTGTACAGATCCTGTGCCAGGTGATGTACACATATCTAGTTTATGTCTCAGCCAGGTCCTCAAGGAAAGTGCTGAAGACCCATCCTCATCATCATATGTGATGTACACATATCTAGTTTATGTCTCAGCCTTTTCCTCAAGGAAAATGCTGAAGACCCGTTCCCATTTTGCAGATGGAAAGACCAGAAGTTGCTTTCCAGATTTCTGTCTGGAAAGGTGTCTGGGAGCGTGTCCAGGGCTGGTGGAGAGGCAGAAGATCCCACAGGGTGATGACTGTGACTCACACTGTGTCTCCTCCCGGCCCATGTCAGGTCACAGGCCAAGCCCACTGGGAACAGGGAATTTGCAACTTTCTCAACTCTGGTACCCTAGTGGGCATCCTCTGGTGCTCTGTGGATGGGCCTAGACTGTTCTGTGGAGCTTAATGCTCTAGTTGTGTTTATATCCCCAACTTTCTCTTCCCCAGTAACCAAATCTGAGTTTCCTCTTGGCCCATAATGGTTAATATTGACTATCAACTTGACAGGCTCTAGAGTTGTCTGGAAGATAAACTTCTGGTCATATGTATTTAAAGGGCTTTCTAGGTTATGTTAATTGAGGAAAGACCCACCTTGAATGTGGGCAGCACTATTCCGTGGACTGAGGTCGTGGATGGAATAAAAAGGAGCTAATGAGCAGAATACCAGTGTTCATCATCCTCCGCTTCCTGACTGTGTACAATGTGATCAGCCACCTCATGCTTCCACCCCAGGATGGACCGTACCCCCATAAACTGTAAGCCAGAATAAACTCTGCCCCCTTAAGTTGCTTCTTGCCAGATATTTCATTACAGAAACAAGGAGAGTAACTAATATACCTCTTTTGATGAAAAGTTAAGAAAAATTGGCCGGGCGGTGGTGGTGCACACCTTTAATTCCAGCACTCGGGAGCCAGGTGGATC